CTGCTAACGTTGCGATTATCTCAATGATATGTTGGGAAATTCAGTAGTGAAACCACGGACTTTAACGATGGAATGACGGTAAGGAAAAATTGAACAGTTTAATTATCGCGAGAACAACTTCACGGAACGATTCAATAAGAAAGTGAAAATACTATGGAGAATATTCACTTTTGATCATTCAAAAACCAATAATATGTCCGATTTTGAAGAAATTAGTCTGACATGAATCAAGAAGAAACGATTGATACCGTTGGTTTAGTTCGAGTGGGTTGAGGACGTGGCGATTTTTGCATTCCAGCTGATGGATCAGCTGCTATACGACTGATCGGTGATTGCTTACTGAAAGCAATCCTAGTTCAAAGCCGTGAACATATTTCTCAAAAAATGATTTAATTTAGAGGAGATAATTGTCCAGAAACGGCACTTTGACAATTCGAATAAAATAAATGTCAGCCGACTCCATTTTATAGCAGAAATTTTTTCATTTTGAACTATTGGGAAATTATCAATAGTTCGTTTCAAGTTTCATGTTTCCAAATGATGTGATATCAGTTGAGCTATTTCATGATAAGGAATAAGTGATTCACAAGAATTAGCATAAACTTCGTTCATCACGAACCTGGTGTCTTGCTGTTGTTGTTGAGTACTACGAGTAAGTCTAGGCCTTGGTTCAGGTCGGACAGGTGTGATCGCGTTCTTGTTTGAAGCATTTCCTCCTCCTATCGACCCGGTTGGAGTAGCCTTTTGAGACAACGGAGTTACCGGGGTCCTTGATGCCGGCGATACGCCGTTAGCCGGGTGGGGCCTTGATGGACGAGGAACGCTATCTTGAGAAGGCTGCAAAATGGCAGCAGTTGATAACAATTATCTTGAGCTCCTCTTCACACTACTCATTGGATCCTAGTAAAAAAGTGTCCCACACACCTGTCGAATTACTCAAAATACAGAAAATTTATTGCTGAAAAATATTGACGAATTCTCAGATGCAGGAATGTGACTGGTAACAGTGAGCGAACGAACGCACGAAAATGTAATGTTTAGTGATAACGGAGAGGCATATTTTCAGTATGAACTGTGTGGGTAATTGCTGCTATTCGAGTGAAGAAACAAATGAAGGAGGCGTGCTAAGGGTTGCACCTGCATCGGTATTTCATTCGAAAAATTGCTGCAAATGAAAAATTGTTCAACTTGATGAATGAGTTCAGAGCATCAAGTCATCAATGCGATGAAAAACAAACCGTCTGATCGCATTCTTTTTTGAGATCTTCGAAAATCTGATCCAAATAGTCGATTGCCTCCTTGAATTTACTGCGATTTTGATGATGTCGAAAACGTGCCTGATCAATCATCTGATCCACTTGTTTGCCAGCCGTATCCAATACACCACCACTGCAAGATCACACCAAAATAATGCTCTGATCAATCACTCGACTTTTTCGCTCTCATAAAAATAGAACCGACAATCAAAATCAAGAGCCCTCATAAACATAAGAATAAGTTAATGGCTGAAAGAAAAAAACACTGATAATGAGCTGCTATTCGTGTCGACATTCTTTTTTTTTCATTCACTGCTCATTCACTCATCTCAGCGAGTGCTAAAACCGCACTCTTTGGGAATCATCCACAAAACTAGCATTACATTTCCAAATTGCCTATGCTGATTCGTTCGTATCATAGAGTTAAAGAAGAATGCGGATCAAATGTGTTAACTAAACAATCCGTTGGATCATTAAATTTCTTGAGATTATTTCATGACGAATCGGGAAGAAGAGGTAAGCAGAACCATTGAACCGATTACAGAGCGATTTTAACGATTCATTCATCGTACCAAAAGCTTCAAAGCAGAATGGAAACCAAAAGAGAAAATGCAAAATCGGAAAATCCGGGTAGGGTACAGGTGATTAGTGCGAGACTTAAAGATGATGGTAAGATAAAACTGAAAACGACTACTTTTATGTTACTTAAATGACCAAGCTTTTCCAGACGAAAGTTCAGCTATAGTGAATCGTAAAGAGTGAACTGACCAAGCGAGTCAGGACTATCCGAGAATTACGATGAGATAAGCGATATTACAATGCGTGATCATCAGAGCAGTTTATCACTGCGCTAACCTATCTCTACACAATCATTTCGATAACGACTCTGCTCAATCAACAACGTCTAAAAATGTTGACGTTTACTTGGCAAATTCATTTCGGACAGCCGCCTTATGCTGCAGTTCCTCATTGTTGGTGCTGTCAAATGTTATTTTAACATTTCCCTTATCACTACGATATTTTATCATTTGGCTATGTCTAGATCCAGATCTGACAGAATCTTATCAGCAAAGATAGCTCGGATCAGTGGTCATAAGTGATTATCGTATGGTCACGGGATGTGAAATGGTTTGACTATCTAATAACTGTGCATATTTTTGACGAAATGCTGATAAAATTAGAAGCGTAAAGTGATACATGCTTGATCACAAGAAATCATGAACAAGTATTAGATGACACTGATAGAAATCACGCGAGTGATCGATCGTAAAGCCGCTGAAACAACGCACAATATCCTCAACTAGGTGAATAAACTGTTATCTAAGCAGTGATGGTCTCGTTGCTTAAATAACATTTCACTTCATTCACTTAATTGCAATTTCTTGTCTGTACGGGTGGCACAATTGTGTACGAATTATTCAGATACTAATTAAATTTCTCATTATGTGAAAAACAAAGTAATGACGAATCTTTCAGAACAACGAAAAAATTTCAAATCTCATTTCAACTGTGCTCCCAAATGTGATTAAATTGCTTAAAGACTGCAAGGAACCGAAACTGAAATACCGACATCGTTAGCGATAATAAAACAAAGACCGGCATCGTTAGCCATAATAACCAAAGTTTTAACCACATAATCTATTCGATCGTCTAATAACATAACTCTGATCTCTTCGGATCGCATAACTTTAACGATGTAAATCATTCGACCTCCTCATTTAAAGTCACCGACAAATGTTTAAGTAGTTGAGAAATCGTCTGATTGAATGGACTGATTGAATGAGCTCAATAAGCTAACTGAAACGTAAAATGTTTACTGGTGAATTTGCAACTATCAATGACTATCATTATTTCGATTATCACTACTACTGCTATTATCAGCATCATTAAGTTTAGTAACGTATCAATGAGTTAAGAGAAGAGTTACGATGCGTTATACATTCGGTAACTCTTCGATGATGCGCAGCGCAACTTAGGCAAAATAGAATTAATTTTGTGTAAAGTGTGTGAATCGATAAGGATGGATAGCTCTTGAATGAAGATAAATGCGATAAGATGAGGTATTACTTTCAAAGACATGCTGCTCACTTAATACAACATAAAATCCGTAACAATCACACAATATATATCAACACGTATAGTATTTTACTTAGGTTAACTAGTACTTATGTTGTCACAGTATGCCGTTCGCTTATATTTGGCCAACAAGAAAATTTCCCTCAGTATCGAGTGCTTGGAAGAAATGTTTCGATCAGAGGCGCTCACTTCAAACTGATTTAGATGGATTCTCATTCTTTTCAGACGTGTTGTGTTCACTCTCATAGCTGTTTCATGTGAATATTATACTATTGATGACTTTTTCTCATTCACTTCGTCTTATTTCACTTCATAGTTCAAATCAATTTCTCATTCAGTAGCATATACTATTTATTGGATGCGTTGACGAGTGTTGACAGCCGAAGTCAACAATACAGCAATCGAATATCATTGCTCAACAGTCAAATGATCAATTATAGAGTGTATTCAATAGAATGAGAATTTGACTTTAATTGGAACAACATTCAACAATCAAGCGATCAGTTATAGAGTGTATTTAATAGAATGAGAATTTGAATTAAACTATTGAGTGAAATGAATGAGAAATTAGCAGAAGAGAATAATTTTGGTGATAAAAGTTATGAGAGCGATTGTAACACCTCGGAAAAGAATGAAAATCTTTTAACCAGTGATACTCAGAAAATGATGAATGTTGCCATCAACTAATGGTATTTACACATCCGAATTGAGAAACACCATCACAATGATGTTCTCTCATAACATAAATGCACCACCCTCCATTACCCCTTGACACCTTCAAATTACCCAAAATCGGTAATTTCACCACCTATGAGAACCTCTGTTCTAGATCGTAACGTTTAATGCGATTTGATTGACAAGCGATTTGATGGTGACGTTTAATGGGATTTGATTGATGCGTCAAATTCGCACAAAAATTCTCAGATATCAGCAGCATTCACTATCGAATAATTGTTATAATCGACTCTGAACTGAGCTGTTCTAAAAATACTTCGTTGCATTCAACTTGTTTGTTTGTTTTTTCCTGAACACATCTATTTATATGCAGCACACACCTTGGTGAATTGCACCAAGCAGCTTGCTTTTGATGCTCACGGGACTTAATCGATTCGAATGAAGTTCGTGAACAATGTTGTAATAACTGCTTGAAGTGATGCCGAAATTTCCAGTTTTTTTCATTGTTCAACAGAAGAACGTCGTAAAACACTTTTTCGTTGCACCTTTCAAGTGAATGGCAATCAGTGAAGAGTTTTATGAATGAATGCGATTTGAGGAACAAAACAAGATTTTTATGATGAAAGGAGTTCTCGAGAGTGGAAGCATTTTCGGTAAAGTACATAAAAATCGAGAATATATCTGTCATAAAAATCAACCAGAGTGGTGGAACAAATCATTGTGACAACCAAAAAAAGGGTCTGCGAGACTAGTTGATGAGGTTTACAAGAGATCAACAAAGATAATATGTAGAATGATTTGAGTCTGCTGAGATATGTTCCCGAAATCTGCCAGAAAAAAAACGTATGCGCCTAGAGGATTTCAGCACGGAATTGTTTGTTTTTTCACTCTGAAGAGATAATTCATCAAGATGATTGAACGTGGAGTTGTGCAAACTGGCCCATACACCACATTCTTCAACATATGCTGGCAATCAAGCCAAACCTCGAATGTCAAATTATCCTTCAAATAAAACATCGGAATGACAGCCTTCTCAAGAGAATTACTCGAATTGACAAACATTCGGAGACACACTCGTAAACCTGAGAGCCAGCATCCCAAAAATGTCACAAACTTGTTGCTAACGCGTCCAGCAACAGAACTGATGTGTTGATAAGTGTGAATTTTGTAAATTAAGCGATCGGAAAGAGCTGAGCATTAATTAACCTGTTCGTCGAATCAACACTAGTCGACGATAAGCGTCCACTGCTCACCTCGGCACCTTTGACGGGTAAATGTGCCGCATAGCGTTCATGCCTTGGATGTTGTGCTGCGGCTGCGGCCGCTTCGAAATTACTCGTAATTGTGCCACCACTGCACACTGATATATCTGAATGTTTCAAGATAATACTTCTATGCACTTAGCATCAGAAAAGGATTCCAAATAAGGAAATTTTCGATTCGAAAAGCTGCTCAACTTCTCAATGGTCACAGAAATTCAGCCGACTGAATGATTTTGAAACATAGCGATTTCTAAAATGGATAAGATCATTGCGAATCGCAACATTGCGACCAAAGGATAATATTTTAGACCATTAAGTTCTTCGGGAAGTTGGAATGTGAATTGGGGGTAAAAAATGAGGAGTACAAGAAAATATCGTGCATGAGGTCAAGTAACTAACTATCAGCTGAGGAGTGTCGATTACGTGGACGAGCCGGTAACTGCATAGTGACATCGACGGAGGAAATATCCTGAAAGGTTGAATGATGGATCTCGAGCAATATCATATGGCCACAATATCATATGGCCACATCTGTTTGCGCAGATCATTTCACTGATTTCGTCGATGTTATTCAAATAATTATTGGAAAAAAAGGAAAGGTGACGAGCGATTCGGGATTGGCGATCGGATTTAAGGAAACGAAAGAAATGGAGATCTTCTAAGATGCAGATTCTAGAATAGGACTCTGAAACAAAATGATCGAAAAATGGAATGATTACTAAGGCAGAACCTCCCTCGCTATGAGCAATGAGAACTGAGGATACTTCCATAAAAATGAGCATTAATAAGACGCGCGATTGCAGTTAATAATGGTAGAAGTTCTTCAAGCAAACTAAGGTCGAACGACTCCTCCAGGGAGAGCAACATGACGAAGAGGCATTGCTGAAGCACATATGCACTCGTCGTGCATCTCGAAATTCTTAAAACGAAGTCAAAAAACTGCCGTCAGATACACCACAGCTGTTTAAATGACTCGACCACAGCGGAAATATGCAATTCGTGGA